ATTTTCTTCATAATATAAGATCATAGGATTGTTCAGGTTATAAGGGACTTCAGGAGGTGTCTCATCCAATCTCCTGCTCAAAGCAGGGTCAGCCTTGAGATTTGATCAGGCTGCTCATGGCTTTGTCCTGTCTCACCTTAAAGCCCCCAATAAGGGAGACTGCCCTGCATCCTTGGACCAACTGCTCCACCACTTGATGGCTTGATGATGGTGAAAACGTTTTGCCTTACATCCAGTTTGAGCCTCTCTTGCCTCAGTTAATGCCCATTGCCCCTCAGCCTCCCAATGTCCACCACTGTGAAGCATCCAGGCAGCAACTGACAGGGCAAGAGGACACAGTCTTAGAGTGTGGCAAGGGAAATTCAGGTTGGATGTCAGGAAAAAGTTTTTACTGAGAGTGATAAAGTACTGGCATTGTCTACCCAGTGAGATGGTGGGGTCACCATCCTTGGGTTTTTTTAAAAAAAAGATGGGCATTCATTAAATGGTTTAGTTGAGGTGTTAGGGCATGGGTTGGACTCAATGATCTTGAAAGTCTATTCCAACCCAGTGATTCTGTGATTCTGTGATCCTGATGACCTCCTTAGAGGCACTGGGAGGCTGCTATCAGCCTGCCTTGACCACCTTCTCTTCTCCAGGCTGAATAAAATTTCCTGTGAACTGACTCGAGTTTATCAATTCTGTCTTGTTTGGAGGTTAGGTGAGGTCACAAAATGGATAAAACACTCTAGATGAGGTCTAATGAAAGCTGAATGCAACACTGTAAGTGCTTGCAGTCTCTACTATAAGATATTCTAATGCCCTTGAATGACACAACCTATCATATATCAGCCATCATTAAATTGGAAATTCCTAGTTTTTCTTAGTGTGACTAGATCCTATTCACAACCAAGCTAAGGAATGCTGACAGAATTATATATGCAAGGAGAAGGGTTTACTGATTTTCCTATACAACTTCCATGGCAGAAGGTAAATAATTACACCTTGGTCCCAAAAACGTGGTGCCACTCTGACAATGGATACAACTCCTCGTTCCAGCGCAACCCTTATCCTGCACTGACTCCTCACAAGTCTTGGGGTGGGAAAAAGAAACTTTGCTGTGGTGGCAATTAATGGATCTTCTACTGAACTAGAGCTATGTACAAACTGTGATGTATGGATGAGTTCCCAGAAAAGACCAATCCATTTTATTCAGTACCCCATTATTCATATGAATTAAAGATGTAACTCTAATAACTCCACAGCTATCATTCAGTAGATTTAAGATCTTTGAAAAAAATACCAGATAAATCAACAAAACTGACTGTGAAGCAGGACATAATATAAGCAGAGTGGCACTGATGGTGGCTACTTTAGAAATATAATTTGGTGGCATTCTGCAATATTGTCACAGAGATAAAGGACTGATATTTCTACAAGTGAAAGAAAGCATCAAATTGGTATTAGAAGGTCAACACCTTGAAAAGTAGCTTTGCAGGGTTTAAATCTTTTCCAGTGGAAATTCAACAGCAAACAAGAAGTGCAAATGTTACTGGCACAAGCTCATTTCACTTTAGAAATGAATTGAAAGATAATAGGATTGGGCTTGCTGGAAGATCCAATCCATATTTTTCACAAAATGAGAATTAATTTTTATTATTTTAATTATGCTGCTGTAGTTTTGCCCTGTTCTCCATAGCCAGTTTTCGGTTCTCTTAAACCTTTGCATTTACAGCTCCTGTGTAAATGCTTCCTTTTGTAAAAGCTCCCAAACCAACACCCCAATTTCTCCACCATAAAACATTCTGCTGCTTGCCACTCTGGTCCTGAGGTTTTACAACTTAGAGCTCAGAGGGTTTTGACTGAACGCAAACCTTTGCCATTGATGAGTGTCCATAATTATATGTGTCTCCATGGTAACCACAGGAGGGAAAGTATATCTGTATAATCCTTCTTAAGTAATACAATGTTATGTTTTTCTTGGTGGACAAAAGATTCTAACTAGTCATAAGCATGTTAAGCAGCCTGTGAATATCAAAGTTGCACATATATTCCTTATCAGCAGAATGGAAATTGTTTTAGCAAAACTGAAATGTGTGTTGATACCTCTGGAATATAAACACAAAATTTTTGGAGCTTCTGTTATGAGTAAATCTGGGCAAACTAACTTCAGATTAATCATTTTGGTAATTTTTCCTTTCTCTTAATCTCACAGTTTAATAGAAAAGTCATAACTAATCATGGCAATCTGGTTGCTTGCCAGAAAAAGGGCTAAATTATTCCCTGACTAATCAAAATGGAATTTACATTCTTTTAATGTGCTATATTCCTGTGTGATAGCCTGAACTTGCTCATTTAAATGTTTCAGTACAGTGTAAATGATTCCAGAGCCAACACGAAATTGATGATACTGCTGCATTTTTAAGTAGGTTTTTTTTTGTTTGTTTGTTTGTTTCTCATTTCTTTAATTATTTTTGGTTAGAAAGAATACAAAATGACTATTTCAGACAACGTAATGACTGACATTTAAAAACCAAAAGTATCTGAACACCATTTTGTTTTACACTTTCCAGCTTTAATCCTCTGAATCTGGATAAAGATTGCAGGAACTGTAAAACTGTTGTCATATTGACAAGAAACAGCAGAAGTTGCACACACTGCGAGCAAAATTTAACCCAAGGCGCACTTGGCACTGATGCTTAAATAAAACAAGTTTTGTATGACTAATTCCTCCAGCATTCAGGGTCTGTAGAGGTACATATGTGGATAGAAAATAGGTGTACCAGAAGAGACACAAACTTGAAGAAAAATAGATATTTTGTTGAAAAAGAAAAAACACATTTATAATACAGGCAATTTTTTTCTAAAGGGAAACTCTTTTTCCAGTATTCCATGAATTCTCAGCATATTCCTAACAGGACATAAAAACTGAAGAAGGAATGCAAGCATAGGTTTTGATCCCACAGCATTTTTTTCTCCTACTGCTGGCCCACAGAAATTTTTCATCTGTGGTTCCCAGCCATGAAAGTAATCCATTGAGTGGAAATTTTCTTTTTTTCTGTTCTTTGTTTTCCTTCCCATCTATGAGACACATTTGGTGTTTTGATGTCCTTCACAAGGTCAGAGACTGATTATGCTTAGCACAGTTTCCATTTTAAAAAAGAGGACAGTGAGTCTTCAAGTTAGGATTTTCTGACAACATTACTCTGCATGTTTTTTTCTTCTTTTCTTTTTCTCTCTTCACTCAGCCTTAGGGGGTGGGGGGTAGGGAGACAAGATAATTAAATAAATTAACAGTATTTTCCCCATTGATTTCATTACGAATTCAATAAGGATAAGAATGAGGCTCTAGGTCCTGAAGAACTTAATCATGAGAAATCTGTCATAGTAAAACCCTCACTGTAAACAGGGAAAGGTCCAGTGCCAAGTTCTGCAGCCTGCATGTATTGTCCCATTCCTGGGTGCATTCACAACACGTAGCCACGGAACCAGAATAATCTAGTCTGTGATGTGCCTTTTGCCAGCAATTTATCTTTGGAAGGAAGAGGCTATTCTGATAAATTAAATATTTCTGTGCCAGACCCAGAGCTAGTTGCTTTGTTCTCATTTTGTGTTGTCCTGGCAGTGCCACAGCAGGTTTCAGTATGTGAAGTTCACTGGCTCAGTAATTGTGATGACAGACAACAAAACCTTCTGAAGTTTAAGGCTATTTAATAATAAATAGCAAGCCTTGAGTAGTTTTGACAATTCACTTAGCAATATACTTTCAAATTTGTGGGAAATTTGTGTAGCTCTAGCAGGCTGCACGGGCTGGATGTCATTAAATTAAAACCTCTAAGAAACCTGTGGACCTGGAATTCTGTGCGTAGGAGGGAGTGAGCTGGATGTAGCTCAAGTATCATTCTTCAACAAATACTCAAAGAACTTGCATAAAAGTATTCATGAAGGCTCTCAGCTCTTTTTCTTAGTGGAGTCTGGCTCCTGGAAGAGAAATCAGGTATAGAAAAGATACCATTAACATAAGATGGAGGAAGAGACCTTGGAAATAAAGGGCCTGGATGCCTTAACCTGCCTCAGGATTCCCACATCTGCCCAGACACAGCAGAATTGTGGCTGTGGGTGCTGCAGCCATCTATGCTGAGACTTGCAATAGATTCCATGCTGTCAGCAGAACAACTGATAGAAATTCCACGCAGACATCCCGGTTTATTCACCTCCTGGCTGGGATCCAGCACGGGGTGGGAGGGAAGTTCCCAGCTGAAGTGCCACAAAGCTCAGGCACGCTGTGTGGTGGACAGGAGTGTGTCACTGGAGCTGGGTGGGTGCCGTGTGCTGAACCTGTGGTGCCCTGGGAGCTGCATCTGGAAAATAACTGGGTTTGTTTGGGTCTTTTCCCACATGCTGCACCATCATGTTAGAGATCTGGGGAAGTACTTAAGTGGCATTCCTCACAATTGCTAAAGAAAACTCTATGAAATATTATTTTCATGGTTCACTGTAAATTTTTCAATTGCTGATTAGCCACAATAGCATTTGTTAACATTACAGGTTTGGCACAAAGCCCTCTGTTTTCCCTTATTTGAAAAGCAGTTGGGAAAATAAATAAAGAATAAACATTATTTTTTAATTGGGTCACTCTATAATGCTTATTTTTTCATAAGCGATTTAAAAGTTTTTAATGTTGTAGGTATATGTACTGCACTATAGAGGATGTGTGATCTAACTGCAATAATGAGATTTTTATTTGGGGCTTTTTACTCTGAAGACAGCTAAGAAAAATCTCTGAGCTTCCCAAAACCACTCTTTCCAAAGAAACCACAATGTTACAGAGCCCTTTCATCATCCAGCATACAGTACTGTACACACAAAAATATACACTGTACTACTTTAAATTAATTCATATTTGCAGGAGACACAGTCTGTGTGAGTATGTGCAATTATGAAATGTAACTTTTTTTTCCTCTTGACATTTTTAGCTGCCTCACCCCTTTTATTTGAACACATACATATGGTGTGTGAGAGTGAGCAAGCTCTCTGTAAATGTTTGGAAGGAGCATCTGTCAGACAATAAAACTTACAAGAAAACATGTTTCTCATTTAAAGAGTATTCACTAGAACTATTTCAGTGTTGGAATCAGTTCATTTGTATAGCTTGGAGGCATTAATAAGAGCAAAGAACTGCAAAGGCACCAGAAAACTCAAACTGTTACTAAGAATCCAAGGTATTTTTAAAAAGCGTTTTGTCTTTTCGGCATCTCCGTCTTCTGATAAGGAATCTGAAGCAGCTGACAGACAGGAAACCTCTGCTAGTCCATCCAGAGGCACTGCAAACAAGAAGATGGCACGATTTCTGCAAACCTGGAAAGTCTAAAGATTGCAATAATTGTTGGACCAAAGGGACCCTCTTCAGGCATAAATAGCAAGACTCCTACTGTCTTCTCTTGCAGACCAACTCAGCTGCCAGCAAAAGCAGGTGCTCTCCCCCTGCCAGTGCTCCAGAGGAATATTTAGTGAGTATTCATAGATACTTTTACAAACTAATGTATTATTAGTGATTTACTTAAGATTGTATAGTTTTCTCAAAGGACAAAGACATTTAAAAATCAGTTTTAAGGCTGTTATTTTAAACAATTGGTGGAGTTCAACAGTCTGATGCAATTAGCATGTTAATTTAAAAACAAAATTTGCACAACCTATGACAGTAACTGTAAAAAAATACTGATTTTTTTAAACTATGTAGTTTAAACAACCTAAAGGAATTACAATGCTTTGAATTCACATTATGACAGCAAAGTAATTTATATAAATACGAAATCTATTTGACTTTAAATGTTGTGCTATAAAACAGCCTTTGTAGAACACAAATTTAAAATAAATCATTTCTTTTGGCAAAGTAACCTGCAATTTAATCTTTAGAAGAATAAATATACCACTAATGTTTTCCACAGAAACAGTTGCTACTCTAATTAAATCAAGATGTGACTCTAATCAGATTTCAAAAGAAAATCAGAAACAGATTTTTCTCTGAGGTAGTACTATGGACAAGGATAAGATATTTTTATTTTCATTTTTATTAGAAACATTTGTCCCAGGTAAAATTACAGGTTTGTAGTATATAGCATGGAAATAACAAATCTGAAAGCATTATAGTAATGTTTTCAGAAGTACAGCAATTTTTAGTGTTCCAGATATCTGCCTTCTCTTTGGCTATAACTCATGTCACATTACATTTTATTAGGTAACTGCTATTAATTTTTGAGTTTGGAGTGACTAATATGACTAATACTTTTTTTCTCTCTTTTCGCGCGGAAGGCAATGGAAAACCTGATGTTTGCCTGCTGGTGCTGTAAAGTTCTCTGGACAGTTGTTGTGGCAGTGCTGGGCTGTGGCAGCAGCCTGCCTGTGGGCGAGGATGCTCTCTGCACAGCAGAGCAACTCGCTAAATACAGGATCATCTTCACAGGGAAATGGAGCCAGACTGCCTTCCCCAAGCAGTACCCGCTCTACAGGCCCCCAGCCCAGTGGTCATCCTTGCTGGGTGAGTGAATACCCACAGTGCTAAGAGCAGATAAACCCCTTGACCTCTGTGGTCTCTTTTTCCTTAATGGTTATGTAAGATAAGAAATGAAAAAGGAAAAAAAAAAAAAAAAAAAAGCCAAAGTTATTAAGGATGAGATGCAGATATTGAAGTATCCACAATGTTCTCAAAAATCTCCAACTGTTTTCAATTGACTTCTGTTTTCAATTGGCTGCAGCTGAAAGAAGCAGTGATAAGCCAAATGTTTTAGTGTTCACTCAATTTTATACACATTTTTTAAACTCAGAAATAAAACAGAGAAAATGAAGAAATAGGGACACTCTAAATCAGACTTTTATGTCATGCCATGTATTCACTCAAATAGGTGTTACTCATAGTTCTGACTACAGCATGTGGAAAAAAAATGAATATGCCAGCAATGGTGTACGTGATTTTGCTGAAAAGGGTGAAGCATGGGCACTAATGAAAGAAATAGAAGAAGCTGGAGAGAAAATTCAGAGTGTACACGGAATCTTCTCTGCTCCTGCAATTTCCAGTGGTACAGGACAAACCTCAACTGAATTAGAAGCACATCCAAGACATCCCTTAGTAAGTAAATGTACATACTCATTTCAAAGTTTATTTTATGTTACCAGCAACCAAAATTAAATATTTGAGTTCTCACTTGTAGAAACAACATCATGAAAAAGAATTACTAAAAAGCATGTCACATTGCAGGGAGCACTGTACAGCATCTATGAAGTAGAAGAGCAAAATGACATTATTTCAAAAACTTTGAGTGAAAATTACTAAAAGCAGGACTGCAGCATTCCAAAGCAAGTGATGCAATCCTGATGGATCATTTTGTTTCATTAGGTTTCGTTCGTTGTACGAATTGTTCCCAGCCCTGACTGGTTTGTGGGCATTGACAGCCTAAATCTCTGTGAGGGAGACCACTGGATGGATGAAGTATCAGTGGATCTATTTCCATATGATGCTGGAACTGACAGTGGATTCACATTTTCCTCCCCAAACTTTGCCACTATTCCACAGGACACAGTTACAGAGGTAGGTGCATGGGCATAGTTTAGCACTTCATACTGATATGTTTTGAGTCTTCCCTTTAAAAGATAACTCATCTAAAATAGTGAAACTGGTTTCAGCATTTGAGAGGGCTGATGCTCTCTATATGTGGATTTATTACACAGCTGATAAACCTACTGCTTTTGTTTATCTTCTGAATCTTTGAAATTTATTAGGTAAATGTAAATGGTCCGTGAGAATTTGTCTCTACGTTTTTTGGAAAAGCTGACAATTTTTGTAGATGATATCTAACAATCCTTAAAGTGCCAGGAAAATGAAAATACAAAAGTTGTGACATCACCAAATGTGAATCTAACCAGGAAAATTCTTAGCAGTGAATACTGCTGTGAGGAGGAGTTTTCAGTTGAAAGCACTGCTGAAACCTGAAACTGCAACATTTGAGGGAAAGGACCTAAAGGAAAGCAGAGAACTTCACTGTGGTGACATTGCTTTCTTTTGCTCATTTCATCCTCTCTATGCCCCATACTTTGCTTTTGCCATTTAAGAGAGGTGGTAAATGAAGGATTTTGATTCAAATGGTTTGAATACTGTATGTGTTCACTTAATCCTTTCTTAAAGGTGAGTTTTTCTAGCAACAAATGCTGTGCTAATGAGTAATGAGGAAAGGAAGAGAGAAGCATTTGGCCTCTAATATCGATATGGCAGCTCTTATAGCATACCTAATATTATTGTTTAATACTCATGTATTCTTCTTGTAATAACATCCAGTTCCTTCTGTCAAATCTTTTCATACATTACTGTGTTTGCAGGACCTTCTACCACAGTTCTGTATCCAGTCCAGTACCCCAAATTAAAAATTCTGGGCTGACCAGGACAGTTATGTGAACTATGTGTTCATAGAAACTGGTTGTATGCAAATTATTTGCCAAAAAGTATTAGCATGATTTGCAAACATGATTTTACAGTTACCTTCCTAGTTTTTTTTTTAATATTCCCTTCTTTTGTTTTTTTTTTTTTTTTTTTACAGATCACTTGTTCCTCTCCAAGTCACCCAGCAAACTCATTTTATTATCCCAAACTCAAAATTTTGCCACCAATTGCTCAAGTAACAATGGTGAAAATAAAGAAAACCCAGCTAGGTCTTTCTGCACCTTTTATTAATCTTCCAGCTAAAAGCAATGAAATAATAGACACTGTCTCAGGTAAGTGATTAGTAGATGTTCTCAGTTCTGTTATTTCCATTCACTCAGACGTATGGGGAAATCTGGCAGGTGATGTGGGTGAAACAGGTGATCAGGCAGAATATTCTCCTATCTGCACAGGAATAGTTCCAGACTCACAAATGGGAAATAAAACAAGCCAGTTGACATGAAAGAGAATTCCTGAAAGAATAAGTAAGGGACTGCATATTTCAGCTGTGGTTCAAAGGACTGGGCCATATCCAGAGTAAGAGCTACCCAAGCCTTTGTATCAGTGTAGCTCAGTGAATTTTATAAGAAACAAATGACACTCAATCAGAATCAGCATTCCCAAAGTCTTTGCAACTTTGAAGTAAGTACTCATCCTTAAGGTTTTACATGACAATGAAGCCAAGAACCATTATTGCTGTCTCTTTCTGGGTCAGAGCTTGGCAGTTATATGCAATAAAATTTGTATAGTTCGATTTATTTGGACATATTTTCAATGGAAACATAAATCCTGATAACAAAAATAAAGTTCTCTCTCATTTTCATTTTTCTCAAAAATATTAGCTAATAATCTTGAATAGATAGGAAGAAGTGCAAACTACTGACTCAAGTCAATCATAAGGGTGATTTTCAAATCTCTGAATTAAAATACATATATTGTTAACACAGTATTTGCTCCAAGGGACCAATGTATTCCCAAAAGAGCTGCCATGTTCCAGAAGCTTCTCCAGATTGTCTGGAGATGGCAAGTCTGTAGCACTCTGCTGGTCACCTTACAACCATTAAAATACAGCTTATTCTCTGCTCAGTTATTGTGTTATTAATAATTTAATAAATGTACTTATCAATTTATAGTGGTTTAATGTATTCCTATTTGTAAACAATACATAGCAAAGTGGGTGTTACACATCTCATTTACAGTTATATATCCTTCCCATAAGATTTGAAAGGAACATTTGGCACTGTTCATGATATAAATTTAAAGCTGCATTTAAAGTATAGTATTTGAAATATAATTTTTAATCACAAATCTCTCTTTCTTGTCTATGAACCAGTATATTAGACCAGTTTAAAAACTTATTGTGGAATCAAAAGGGCAGATTTAATTACCAGAGGTCAAGCAGTGTCGCTCATTCCCTCTGGAAACCCAGGAATGAGTGATGACAGCAGAAGTGGTGAGTTCTGTAACGCCAGAAATTTATCCCAGGTGTTACATCTTTAGTGTGGCACTAAAGGATGGCCTTGTGCACACCTCTTTTACCCACAAATGCTGGCACAGGCAGCTTTGATGCCACCTCCTGTGACAAGCAGTATTTTAATTTAGCCTGCTAAGGAATATTCACCTACTTTTGATGATTTTTACTTTAGATAAAAGCATACATTATGGATAGAACTTCGGAGTTTCTAACTTCTTTTCTTGCACTGAGTGAAAGTTATATTGAAATCCTTTCAGCATTAGAAAGCTTCTAGTGACAGAATATCCTTATTGGAAAAGGGAAGAGTAGTGTACAGACCAAAAAATAGCAAGATGATAAAAAATGAGACTTTATTTCCAAAGCAAATTGGAACAAAAGTAAAATGGATTTCGATATGAACAACTCTAGTAACAATAGCTGCCTGCAAAGAAATATAAATATACCTAAGTAAACCAGAGAAAAGCTTTAATCTTAGTGTTTTAGTTAGTCATGAAAAGGAAAATGAGTTATAAAAATTGACAGTTAATATTTTCTAATTCAATCTTTTGAGTAAAATCATATTAAGCATAGTTTTCTTTTAAGGAATTCTGTTTTTCATTCAAGACATAATATGCTTCAGAACTGATGCAATACCTCAGACAGGCTCTAGATTGCAATAACAATAGAATGAGTTTGGGAGCTGAAACCAGATTTTTTTTTTTTTCTAATTGGTGAGACCACACAGTGATTTGATGGATATCACATGTGGTTGGTATAAGAAAGGATGCTGTTTGACCATCATTCCTTAACGCTTTCCCAAGTGTGTATCTGACTCAAGCACCACTCGCTGTAAAGCTCCCTCTCTGCTGTGTTGCAGAAACACCCCTGGACTGCGAGGTGTCCCAATGGTCCTCCTGGGGGCTCTGCAGAGGGCTCTGCAGGGAAACAGGCACCAAGATCAGAACCCGCTTTGTTCTCCTTCAGCCCGCCAACAACGGAATGCCTTGTCCGAACCTGGATGAAGAAACAGCGTGTGAACCAGAAAATTGTGTCTGAAATAAAGAAAAGATAATAATGAAGATAATTTAAAAGTAGGATAAGTTTAAATCTGAACTACGTGTCAATCAATGTTCTTTATCATTTGGATACGCTGCACTATTTTGCTGAAAAGCTGCATTAGAGTGGGTTTGAAAGTTTTTATTTAATATCAAGATTTTTGGGGGTTAAATTCCTATGGTTTGGTAGGACACAGTACTGGATAGTTTAAAGAACAAAACCCCCAAATAAATCCTTCCTCCAAATACACTGTAAGTTCTTGGAGTACCCTCTAGTGGCAGAAAAGAAGACATTTGGGGAGATCGTACTTCACATTTTTACTTCACAGAAAAAATCTTTCAATCACAAAGTCTAAACTAATAACCTCCTTAAATATTGTAACTTGTTTATCTACACCTATTTATACCTAGAAAATAGTTTTTCCTTCTAAATTATGTTTTTATAATTTATTGGCATTTTTGTCATCTTTCTAACCTTGCTTAATGTGCATTTCCTCAGAAACTACTTACAAAAGTCAGAGTGACCAGATATTTGCAGTGTGGTTAAGACAATAATGGAACTGAGTAAACTTGTCTTGAGACTTTTGAATATATGAAAATGTCTTTTTATTTTTCTTTCTCAAAAATGAGAAGAACAACTGCCATGAGAACACTCAGCCAACAAAATTATTAGAAAAAAATCTGAAGTGTGGATAGTAGTAGAAAACATCTGAGCTGAATTAAAAGTGTTAGCTGAGATTCAAAAGCTGATTGTTGGTGTGTGTCCCTCATTAGACAACTTGAAATTTCAAAGTTAACACTGTTACTGACCATAGCATAAATTATATCATTAACCTTATATATGCAGTAAATGTGTCCATGTTTCTTTATATGTGTTTGCTGCTATTTGTGTATATATTACCTAAAATTAAGGTATGCACAACTCTAACAAAACACATGTCAGAAACTGTTCCTGACTGCAAGCTTTAATGCTCAAATAACTTATAAAATTAATATAACACGTCTTATGAAGAGCTGTGGCTACCAACTAGGAAAAGAATTTTGGAATAATACTAATTCAATAGAGTAAGTTTAAAGTCAGCTCAAAAACTTTTACAGCACACTGCAATTTTACAAATATACAGCACAGGTACTGAACAGCAGAGTTGATTTGTTGTTTTCCAGAATATCCCAAATACAAGATAATTTCACTTGTCCTTAAAAGAGCACACTGTATTCTCCATGGAGCTGAAACATTTAAACATTTCTCTGTATTTCTTTTTCCAGGAGACATATCTTGCAAAGACACAAATAAATTTGAAATTTTATCAGACTAAACTTCACTGGTCCTGCAAATGCTGATAAATACACAATTGTTAGAACTAAGTGTAGGAATTTCTGCTCTTCTCTCATTCTTCAGATTCCCACTGTTTGTTCAAAATAGTTCACTTATACAAGTTGCTCACAAATCACAAAATTGCACACTTACTATTTTTTTAAGTTCCCTCTATTTCCACTCTATAATGTGAGTAGTGTTGCTACACTATTATGTGTTTAGTTAATTGTTAGTATTTTTCTTTCTTCTTTTTATTAGTTTTAACCATTCTATGTTTTCTGTTACACTTATTTACTACCTGTTTACACACTTATCATCCTACCAGAAAACATAAGCATATATTGTAGTATATATTTAAATATTCTCAGAGGGTAGGAGTTTATTTCAAATTGGTTGTCAAGAGAAAAATTAAGCTCAATAAAGTTTTTGGGCAGATATCAGATGCAATTCTAAATTATGCCTTAGGAAAACCAAACTCAAAACCCACAAGGTATCCTTTGAGATACTTTTCTGGAATTTCTCTAAACACTACAGTTTTCCTTCTTCACATGCCCAGAATAAATAAAGGCCCAGACCCAGTAAAAGAATACCTGCATTTGTATTAACATACACGACCTGAAACTGGGATTTCACTCCTACAAGATTTAATTTGAGTGGAGGAGTCCCAGTGTTTGCTCAAACTCCTGGATACAAAAGTTTTCCAAAGGACACTGAAGGAGAAAGGATGAGATAAGGACAAGGAGTAGAAAAAGAATATGTAACCAGCACATCTCAAAAAACTCCAGTCAGTGCTACATAACTTTACTATTTTAGGGTGTTTACACATGAATATTCACTGCATCTTCCTTCAAAAACAGAAGTTTCCTATGCAGCCAGTCACCTGGAGATGGGGATTTTTGTAAGCAGTAAATTCAGGAGACCTTGGTAAATATATTCTTTAAGGATGCCCCTGTGCATTGCTTGGCCATAAATATAATTCCAGGTATTCCCTTTGAAACCACAGGGATGGAGCCATCCCTTGGCAAGGCTGTGGATACAGGGAATGAAATGCATTTTAGTGATGGAGCACACTTCTGATAGTATTTATCTATTAAACTGATTCGTGAGGAACATTATCCCTGCTCAGATGTTGTTAGGACTTTGTAGCTTCAGCAGCCTTGGAATTCCCTCAAAGATTTTGGGACCAGGAAGAAACACAGAGAAGCTCTTCCTTCCTTTTCCCTTGTTTCTCATGTTACAGATGGTTGGCAGCCAAGATGCTGAGGTCCAAAATACAAGAGATTTAGGGAAGGAAATAGGCAAATTAATTCCTGGGTTAAGCTAATCTCAGAAAGCACTTTGGAAAGAAGCTTTAAATGGATTTGTAAAGACAATTCTTTTCAAGAATATCTTAGAATCAGCTCTGATGCCTTGGCAGATGTTCTGCAGAATGAAAGATGTGGTTAATGGCAAAGTGTAGTAGCAAAAAAATTACCACAGAATTAAACTGTGGTCCTAAAAAAATAATCCACATGCAATTAAACTCCTATAATGGAATAAATGTGAAAATAAAAGATTGGACAGTATCTGATGTTATTCAAGGCTAAAAGCTTCATTTCATTATATTCCCAGTCCCAGCTAATTGGAGTACATTGGGAATAACTCATCTGTCATGAATGATCCAACATAATAAAGTAACTCAGACTATTCCATGACAATATTTAACACTCCCAAGAAATAAATCTAACACCCAATACAGCGATTCTGGTATCAGTCAGATGTTGTTCAATGGGATTTTTGCAGTATGCAGAAGTTGTGTCCGTGACAATTTCCAGAACTCTGAATGGCTGAGATGAAAGCTCTCAGTATGCTGCACAACAGACTGATTACTTGGCGACTGAATTATTTTTGTTTGCTTGAAGTCCATCAGCCCTCCTATGCCAGCATTTGCCAGCCAAAAGCACAGAAGAAATGTGTCTCTTCCAATGGGTCTGGGCAGAGTAAAGGATAAAGTGGCATCACTTTGTTTATCCTGTGTTCTACCACTGGAACTCAGAACTTTGGAAGTCACAAGTACTCAACAAAAAGCTAAAAAGATGATTGGTCAAGTAGCTCACAACCTGCAGCCAAACCTTGATTTCCTGCAGGTATGAGTGTGGCATGGGAATTTATGCAGGTGCATGACAGTCAACATCTCCTGTGGTAGAGGGAAAAAAGTCCAATATTATCATGATATCCTGTATAATATAAAATTATTTCTGATTGATAAGTGCTGAAGTAGTAAAGGAGTCCTAACATCCCCCTTGACATTCCTAAGGATTCAACAGGCATGAGATGCAATTTTTATCCCTCTATCCATATGGAGTCAAAGCAGTAATGTGTAAGGAATCAGTTCTCTTCATCTGACAACCTTTCAATAGGGGGATGCTGATGGGTGATTTTTGGAGGTGAACTTATACTTGTGCTACAACTTCCATGAAGATACTGCATGCTGTGAAATGGAGAGGACCCAGGGTGGTCCAAAGCCTGTGCCAGTGCTACACAGACATTCCTTTACTGAGACAACTCCATAGATGGCAGGTGCAGTGAAGGGTAACAAACATGAATCAGTCCTCCTGCAGATGTGAAATAATCCAGTAGGAGTTTATCCCCACGTTTTTATTTAGGTTACAGATATTGAAGATGAAGGGCTGTGCCCCCCTCTTCTTTGACACAAGAAAAACATGTGCTCTGAAGCAATTGGGATAACATCAATATTATGTGGAAAGATGGGTCCTCCTGACTGGAAATGACCCCACTGGTGGGTCCTCCCTGCTGGAAAATGACCATTCAGGCCCAGACTTCAGACAGAGTGATCTACACTTATAGGACAAGGAACATTTGAGTGATAAATGAGTTTGTCATCAGACATACACATTTGTCTATATTAGAACAAAGAAAAAAAAATAAGAACCTCAATCACTTTGATTTATACTACAACTTTCTTCAGAGAATGTACTAGGAAGTATTTAAGAAATAGCCATTCCTATATAAAAAATCTTATTCTGAAAGTTTTCATGTTGTTATTTTTCCCTGCAATATCATATTCACTAATGTTATTTAATTACTTAATGGATTATTTGATTATTATTCAAGAACTTATTCAAGTTCTTTCGACTTCTTTAGAGTTCTCTTATGTAGTGCCTGTGGGTTTTAAGCAGGTGCCTACATTTGTACAATGATTTAGGATGGAAATTAAAAGTTTGCTTAATAAAGGAGGGGTGAAGTTCTAGAATAATCACCCAGAATTGATGGGAAATAATAACTTAATTTAAGTTGAAAACATAGCAGTTTATGGAAAGAGATAGTCAATGTAGTTGCCTACAGTAATCCAGGGAACTGATCTCAAGCACTGGAGAGGCCCTTTCAGTTTCATGCTCTTCTAAGTGTATAAAATAAATTTTAATCTAGATGCTGGGAAAGAAGAAAGAATTGTAAAGGTGTCCTTTCCATGTTATCTCATTCTCCAGAACATGCTGTAGTTATTTATAAATGTGTAACCAGCAGCTGCCTTTTCTCACAGGTTTTTTTCCCTCTCAAAAATACTCTGATAAGCAGCAAACAAGGAACAACCACAGGACTACAGGCACTTGGATGTAACTATCTTCAAAAGCAGTACAGCGGGGATATATAAAAAACATGAAAAGCAAATTAATAGGATTTCTTATGAACTTTTGGATTTCTTTTTCACTCGCTCTGTATTTTCACATGGGAGAAAGAGAAGAGAAATGCATAATTGAAGATATTCCCAGTGACACCCTGGTAGTTGGTAGGTACCTGTCAATGCTTTATGATGATCTAACTCATGCAGCAACAAAGGTAACTGGCAATGTAACAGCAATTTCTGTGACTGATGAATATGGTAAAAAACCAGAAAAGGGCACTCTGAAAAGAACTCCCTGCAGCAGGGATTAGGTTTAAAGTCCTCAAACACTGTGTGTATACATCACACAAAGAAAAGCAGGTTTTCAGAGTGCTTTACTGACTAAACAGAGAAAAAGAATGGTTTTTAATTCTACAGCTGTGGAATTGCTGCTTCCATGCGTGCTTCTGCACGTTCTGACTGGTGTACTCATCCATATCAGGATTTCTGTAACATGGCTTTCCCCATATGAATGGGAAAGTTACTTTTTTGATAAGTGCTGGTCTGAAAAGAGACAATTCATGATGCACTGAAGTTCCATTTCTCCTCTGATACGAGAAGCACATTAAATTAATCTACAAGACTGTAAATGTAAGATTCAAGGGGATAATAAAATATAATACAAATTAATCTTTTTTAAAAAAATAATATGACACGAGTGAAAGACAATCCACAAAACATAATGTAGTACAGTACATTATGCTTTTGGAGGTCTCAGTGTGCCTTCTAGAGGCTAAACTTCTCAGAGCATTAAAGTAATTAGAAAGTT